GTTGAGTCTGGAGTAGTCTATGCTGCTTCAAAGTCTAGAAAATTAAAAAGTTAACGCATCCATCAAAGAGCCCACTCTCATAAGAAGTAACTTATGTCCTTGAATAATATCATACCGTGACACCAAAATGGAGAGTCCGTACGTAAAAAAGGTCATGAATCCAGCTGCCTGAGACTATTCCTAAAACCAATGGGATTTTGGACCAAATTGGCCAGATGTTCTGCTCAGAATTTAAAAAAAAAATTTTTTTTTAAAGTGAAAGTCTACAACAAGAAATAGAAGGCATTTATTTTTGTTCACAAGCTTCTGTGTACGTACTTTTGGCTGCTCGTGCCTTCTCCAGAAGGCAGCACAGATGAAATATAGCCCCAACGTACCAAGCTTTGTGTTGGGTTGAGTTTTCATTACTCAGTGACGGTTCTTACTTAGTGTCCTATTGGCTATTACATCCTATAATAGGATGGTCCTTAGTCTCATGCTGTCCATCACATTGTAATGGGCTTTAAGGCAAGCTGTAATCTATTATTTATATTTAATAAAAAACGGATCCTCCATACATGACGGGGTCACATGTCAGGTGCTGCCACCCAGACCTTCCAAGCATGGGAGGTTACAGAACCTTTTTATCTGGCATCTGAGGGTTGACGTTGGGCGCTGGCAGTGTCCCCACCAGCGGGCCGCTGACTTTGCCCTTCATGCCCTGTGCTCGGAGTGTGAAATGCTCTCACGCTCCTTGTGGCAATCCAGTTATGATGTCGGCCTTCCCTTTTGGTCTTCCTCAGCTCTGCTATCTTCAAACGGCATCTCGTGTTACCTCTGCCAGTGAGGGTGGCCGTATTTTCCTGCAACCAGGTTAGTTCCCCTCCACGAAGGGAGGCTTTGTCCGTCAGTATTCCCAATTGGTTTCTAAAAATAAAGCCTAATACTTTCTCTAGGACAGAAGTTAAACCAGCCAGTCAATGATCGTCTGGACCTGGGGCATCCCTGGATCTTTAGGATTGTCACTTGATTTCAATTCCTCGAGAATCTCTCCTGAATCTTGACTGATAGGACTCCAATTAAATCACCTTGATGTTCGAAAGTTGTGCTGTAAGTTTGGCCAATCAGGACTTTTTAAAACGAGTCAACGCGAATGTGGACCAGGCGACCAGTGAGTGTTGATGCTTCAGTCTTGTTCATTCTTTTGTTTTATGAGCAAATGAGCCTTGCGAGGAACACAAAGACGGTTTCCACTGCCTGCTCGCAGAAGCTGATGTACTTCTGATCCCCTAAAGAGCAGTTTGAAGTAGGATCAGGGACAAAACATTGAAAGTAGCTAGCTTGTTTATTTCTTTCGTTTTGAGTTAAACATTTTTTCCCCTTTTTCCTTCTCATCCTTGGCCTAATGGTCCATTTCCAAACTGGAGTTAAGTCGCTGTGTGCTCACTCTCATCTTCCACCCATCTGCTCTTTGTCTGCTTGGGGCAAGTTTTCTAAAAACAATTCCATTTTGTCAGTTTCCACCTCATTTAAATACATTCAAAAAGCTGTGAGTTACTGCCCCGAACAGTCTTCCAAACTTTCGAATTAATCTGCCGTTTAAAAACCCTTTCTTCTTCATTTTAACTTTTGCAACTTTTCTTTATCCAAGGATCCTTGAAGTTCCTGAAAACAACTCCAGTAGAGTGCGGCGCTCTACCTCTGACACCTGCCTTCCTTTCGGTCTTGTCCATTTTTAGAAGAAATATTTAATTTCTTGTTTCTTGCCTAAGCTGCGATTTTTTCCAATGTTACTCTAACCAGTTTGCTTAAGGTGGTAATTTGTTCTAATATTCTATTTTTATGGCATATAAAAATAAAAAAAAACATGAGCTTGGGGCAGCAAGTATCCTGATTAATGGAGAACTCTCACTAATTCTCTTTTACCAAAATGGATGCAATCTTCAGGCATATAAATATTTTTTTATGCCAAAGATGTGTGAGGTGTGGGTCCAAAAACAGAGTGCCCTTCTGATAAAAAGAAGAGCCTCTGCATAAACCATAGAATACACTGATGCAAACGGCATTGAGGGGTTCTCTGGTTGGCTCAGTCGGTGGATCTTGGGACTCGATCTGAGGGCCTCATGAGTTTGGGCCCTACATTGGGTGCCTAGAGCTTACTTAAGAAAAAAAAAAGGCATTGAGGAAACTGTGTACTTAGAACTGCGCTAGGCACCGCGGAGGTACGATTTACGGCACATTAGCATGCTAGCTGGAGGATAAGACTCTGATGTGGACGCTTAAATGACAATATAAGGCAATAGGTCAAGAGAAGTGACAAGGTACTATTATTGGCGCAAGCAGGTTGTGAGTGTCATTGGGTGAGAAGGGTCAGAGACGTCTCCACGGAAGAGCCAACACTAGAGCAGAGTTTTGTGTGATGGGAGGATCCAGACAAAGGGCAAGGAGGAGGGCATCTTGGATGGGGACGGTAGTGGGACCGAGGCTAGCGGGCAAGAAGCAGAAGATGTGGCGGGTCCTAATGAGCACCAGCGTCAATGAGGAATGGGATCTCATTTTGGAGAGGCATTTGGGGCCAAATTACGGAGGGCCTTGATGGAGAACCTAAGGAATCTGGAGCTTGTCTTTAGACCAGTAAAATGCTATTGGAGAAATTATTAATCTCCTTGTATTTCTGTTTACTATAAAGTCAGGAGAAGAATACTTCCTACTGCGGAGGATTATTGTGAGAAATAATTGAATTCAAGATTTAAAATTATTTTGTTCCTAGGGGCTCCTATTGCAGCTTTACAGTGATGTTGCTCATTACAAAGGAAACACCGTCAGATTCTGTTTTCACGAGAAAAAATAACTCCGACTCCCCAAAATCACAACCATAGCAAATGTTGTGAATCGGTTGAAAACAGTGGCCGAAATGTTATCGGACACTCCTCTTTAGGTTCACCGTGTAAGACGTCGGCTTGATTAAAAAAGAATTCGTTCTGTGAGCTGGAATTAGGGAAGAGAAAGGAAAATGAGAGGAGAGCCTGAGGTGATTCCCACTGTTTCTGGAAGGACTTCTTGCCAGGAAACCGGGGCTGCCCTCCTCCTCTGGAGGACTGCCACGCCGGTCAAGCTCGGCCTCACTCGCTCGTCTTATCCAGCTTACCGGGACTCTCTGAGACCAAACTGACTCCGCGCCAGTGACCCTACACACACACCCGTGTTCACAAACCCGGTGAATTCAGTGGACCTCGGCGTCTGTGGAGCACCATCGGCTCTCTTAAAGAATAAAACACTTTATTCATTTTTTAAAAAAGATTATTTATTTGAGAGAGAGAGAACGAGCAGGGGGGAGGAATAGAGGGACAGGGAGAAGCAGGCTCCCCGCTGAGCAGGGGACCCCCCCCCCGACGTGGGGCTCGATCCCCGGACCCTGAGATCATGACCTGAGCTGAGGGCAGACGCCTAACTGACTGAGCCACCCGGGCGCCCCAAGAATAAGACGCCGTAAAATCAAATGTTTGCAACCGGAGTGACGGTGTCGTATAATAGAATACACGCATTTGGCGGGTGGAGGCCACATCACCATGGTTCGGCTGTGGGACCCCAAGCGAGTTTTTCGACCTTTCTAGAGATCCTCTTATTCATCAGAGAAATCGTGACTACTTCAGAAGATCACAGTGAGGATCGGTGAAAGCACGCGTCTCAAATAGCAATGTTGGCACCCGGCAGACAGGAAGTGATCCGGAGCGGCGCGCTGCAGGTGGCCCGGACCAGCTCTCAGGAGCTGACTGATAAATCATTAGAAATTTCGAGAGCCGGTTGTCAAACACAGGCAATATTGACTTAAAACTAAATAAGCTCTATTAAAAACAACTGTATACTCCAAACATGACACTTCCTAGTCATTTTATTATATTTTGTTCTATCTCCGCTCTTAGGCTACTCACATCTACTGTAGCTGTAGGATGGAAATACCAGTTAACGGTGTCCCATCGCACATTTCTTCCCAACTCCGCGTTCAAGGACTACTTGGTAGTAACTTGAAGCCTTTTTTTTTTTTTTAAGATTTTATTTATTCATGAGAGACACAGAGAGAGGCGGAGACATAGGCAGAGGGAGAAGCAGTCTTCCTGTGGGAAGCCTGATGCCGGACCCAATCCCAGGACTCTGGGATAACGACCTGGTCCAAAGGCAGATGCTCAACCACTGAGTCACCCAGGCGTCCCTACTCGAAGTCTTGGTACCACAGATACTGGCAAAAGCCACAGATCAGGGCTTCGCGTCCCCTCCTCCACCCTTCTCCAGAGAGCTGGTTGTTGAACATTTCCCAACACACCACTGGTGACAAAATCCCATTAGTTTTCTTCCCTTTTACGTACGTCAAGCGTCTGGCAGAGTGCATGCCTGGTACACAGAATGTGCTGGTAAAGTAGAAGTCTTCCTGGGCTGTTTTTTTTTTTTTTTTAAAGACTTATTTATTTATTAGAGAGCGAGCGAGCGAGAGAGAGAGCGCGCACGCGCACACACGGGCACGAGTGGGGCAGGTGCAGAGGGAGAGAAGCTTCAAGGAGACTCCAGCGGGCGCCAAGCCCAGCCCGGGACTCTGTCCCACCACCCATGAGCTCGCGACCTGAGCCAGAGCTGAAAGTCGGACTCGGAACTGAATGAGCCACCCAGGCTCCCGAGTCCTCAGTGCTCTTGACCACGCTGATTAGACGGAGACGAGGAAGGAATCAGAGACGTCATCTCATCAAGTCCCGAGGCGACCGGGCCGGGGCCCTTAGGAGCCCAGGGCGACCTCTGGGGCTCACCTGAGTCCCACCGAGGCCTCGTTCGCTCCGTGCTGGGCTCCCGGTGGGGCTCACTCACCCCGGGCCTCCCTGTCCTTGGCGGACACGTGGCAGCACCGCCCGGGTGGCCCTGTCTCGGGCCCCTGAGCCCCTACAGTCGGGCCTGCCACCCAGCCCCCTGGCCGGGTCTCCGGATTCACCTGCCTCACTGGCCCGGGGCCTGCTGTCACCCCCTCCCGGACTCACCTCCGGGGCCGCACATGCTGGGGCCCAGGCTCAGCCCTTGTCCAGCTACCAACGCCCACGGTCGGCCTCCGCCTCCGCCCGGGGCCTGTGGGCAAGCCCGCCTCTGGCTCGCGCATCCTGGCGGCCTTCTCTGTCTTTCCGTGGTTGGTGGAGGCGGCGAAGATCCTGGGGCAAAATCTGAAAAAGGTAAAACTACGAAGGGAAACTAGCTCCACCGCCCATTAGCGCGGGCCGAGGGGCCTGTACAGGGAGAGACGTGGGTGCTGAGTCCTTGGAGAAGCGGGCAGCCGGCACCGGGCCCCCGACCATTCGAGGCCAAGCTGCGATGCCCTGGGACCCCCTCCAATGCGGAAACCCGCAGACTTTTCCACTGAGCCCAGGTGCAGGTGTGTTTCTACCCGACTTCCCAAGGCCATAGGGTCCGTATGCCCTATAGACGAACAGGGGTCAGTACACCCAGGCCCGCGGATCCCATCTGGCGGGCCGCCGGCTGTTTTCCTGGGTGAAGTCTAACTGCACGGTCCCCAGTCCCGGCTCGTCCCCTGGTTGTCCCCTTGTTGTCTCGGGCTGCCTTGGGGACTAGGCGAGCAGCTGCCACCGAGGCGGCGTGGGCCACAAAGCCTGCAGAACTTACTACCCACGCGTTCGGGGAAAATGTGCTGATGCCCGAGCTGGCACTGAAGACGGGGTGAGCTCCTGAGGCCTTTCTGCAACGACTCCAAGCCTGATGGGTCAGCGGGATAGGGACGGCGAAGGGCGAGAGCTGCGGACCCCAAGCCCGGGACGCCCTTCCGAGCCCCGCGGCCGCGGCCTGGAGCGCCCTGGCCTGGCCTCCTTCGGGGTCCCCGCGGCCTGGGGCCTTGGAGGCCGGCGCGCCCCGGGGGGGGTGCAGGTGAGCCCCACCGACGCCCTCGGGGGGGGGGGTCCGGGCGGGCTCCGCGGTCCCAGGGCCTCCGGGGCAGCCGGGACGGGCCGCTCGGTGTGCGCCGCCGTGACCCCCGCGGGCCCACTGGGTCGGGGGAGGGCCCCGCGCTCTGCTGTTGGCCTGGGGCGTGCGCGGCTCCCGGTGCGCGGCTCCCGGTGCGGGGCTCCCGGTGCGCGGCTCCCGGTGCGGGGCTCCCGGTGCGCGACCCGGCGTCACCCCGGGGACCTCCCCGAGCGGGGCTCACGGCCGCCGCCTGCCCCGGTGGGTGCCCCACCCCGCCCCGCCCCGCCCCGCTCCTCCCTCCTCCCTCCTCCCTCCTGCCCGCGCGGCACGTGGCCTCAGCGCCCCGATCCCCGCCGAGCACACGGTGGGGGCGGCCGCTGGGGCTCGGGCTCGGCTCGGGCGCGGGCTCGGGGCTGGCTCAGCGCCTGCGCGGTGCGCCCGGGTCCCCGCGCCTGGTGCCGGCGGCGCCCACCGCGAGCCTCGGCGGCTTCCGCGAGCCGGAAACGCGGCAGGACGGGCTCCGCGGACAGGGCGGCGGGGCGGGGCGGGGCGGGGCCGTGCGGGGCCGTGCGTGGGGGCGCCGGGCCCCCCCCAACCCTCCCCCCCGCGCCTCCCCGTCGGGGCTTCCGGCCGCTCTGACCGCGGGGCGGCGGCGCGACTGTGGCACCTGCCGAGGGGCCTGAGCTCGCCCTTGGGAGACTCCTGCGAGGGACCCGGCTGCGCCCGCCGGCGTCGGGGCTGCGGGGGGGGGGGGGGGCGAGGCCAGGCCGCTTTCTCGGCGATGGTCAGGCTGCACAAGAACACACGCGCACACGTGCACACACACGGATGCACACACACATGCACCCCGCACCCCCCCACGCGCACACATGCACGCGCACACGTGCACACACGCACACCCACACATGCACACACACCCATACACATGCACAGCCACACATACGCACACACATGCACCCCGCACCCCCCCACATACACACACGCACACCCACATGGATGCACACATGCACACTCACGCGCGCACACATGCACACACACGTGCACATGCATGCACACATGCACGCCACATATGCACACACGCACACCCACACACATGCGCACCCACACATGTACACACCCACACACGCGCACAATGCAGCACACGCACACCCACGTGCACACATGCATGCACCCACGTGCACACCCACACACGTGCGCACACACATGCACACCCACACATGCATGCACACACGCTCACGCATGCACACACGCGCACACCCACACACGCACACACGTGCACGCAAGAATCAGCAGAACCAGAAGCAACTTATTTTAACTGACTTTCGCATTCCCCCCCTCCCCCCCACCTGGAAATAGCTTTTTGTTATTTCATGGTTTTCTGCTGAAAGATGTCTCGGGTGGGAAACTCTCCAGCAGCTCCCCGGGTGTCAGAAACGTTCAAAGAGGAGGGCGAGCATGCTCTGAAAGCGGAATTAAAATCCTTCCCTCCTCCGAATGCCCTTCCCAGCCTCGGGTCTGGGCTTTTCAGTTGGGCTTTTGAAGTTTCTTTCGAGCTTAATTCCTCTCGGAGTGTGACCACCTCACTAGAGAAATTACGTTTTTCAAAGGGAATATGGAAACCGCAGCCTTCCCGCACTTGCCCCCGGTTAGCATCTGCTCCCCGGGGTGCGTTCCCGTGCTGGCCTGGGAGCCCACGCTCTTGCTTCCCAGACAGATGGACGAGGGCGGGCGATGCGGGCAGGCTAGAGGGCTCCGCTCCACCCCACCGTCCCGTTGGGAAGGGGGTAGGTCCCGACGCATGGGGCTCTGCTTCTCAGAGTCCCGGGGCCTACCCCCGTTTTCTGAGGTTTGGGTGTACGAGAGCCATGAGGTATGTCAAATCATGATGCGTGCCGGAGTTCTTAGGGACCGGCCTCTCATCTCGTTTGGAGGCAATGGCCCTCGTCTGGCTTTGACCTCTTTGCCAGCGTGAGGCTGGGAGCCAGTGGCCCTTCTTGTTCCTCGTGATGCTGGTGAGGAGCCCTGCCCTGAACGCGTATATCTAGGAGCACCCGTGTTTGGTGGTCCCTGCGTGGCCTTGGGGCATCAGAAGCTACTTTTCAGCAAACAATGGTCCTTTGGTGTTCTTGATATTATTTAAATACATTTTTTCATTCACAACTTTCAAAAAAATCATTTGTTATGGCGTAAAGCGTGTCTCGGGCCTGCATGGGACGGGAGGCGTAGATGACGTAATCCTTGTCCTAAGTTGCTTATTGACCCAGGAGAAGCATCCAGCAAAGTGGCTGTGGCGCCGCGAGACGGCCGTACCTGACAGGTGCACCGTGGTGCAGGCCCGCCCCTGTGGAGCTGATGCTCTGGAGGACTCCGGGCGGGGGGGGGGGGGGGGTGGTTTGAGAGCAGGTCGCCCAGGCTGGGGCCCACGTAGGGCACGAGCCAGCCAAAGAGACTGAAAAATAATTGATTTTATGTGAATATTTTCTAAGTTATTTCTCCAAATGTTTCAGACACCATGTCTGAAGGACAACTTGAAAAGATTAAAGTGGCTTATTTGGAAGATGATCCCCTAATGACCAATACTTGGGCCGATTTAACGGACAGTTCAAAATAAGGGTTTGTGGGGCTGAATTCAGCTGGTTGGTCTGTGTGTGTAAACACCCAGTGGGTGTCCGGTCCCTTTGCAGCCTTTCTCGTGAGGGGGCTCGGGGCGACAAGCCGGGCACCGGGGCAATTATGCTTCTGACCACTCACCTCAAACCCTCTTGTTTTTCGTGATGTTGGAGTCTGGAGTCTTCAGCATAGAATCCCAGAGACATTGGAGGGTCCCAGAGGGGGTTATCAATTCCGTGATCTCAGAGCTGGAGGCGTGGGCCTGTGTACCTGCTAATTTCCCACTAGTTTTGCATTAGCGCCTCAGACCCCACAGGTACGGGTAATAATGCCAGGTAAACGTGTTGTTCTTAAACTTATCTTTAAATTTAATTGTGCTTTCAGAGAAACGTGCTACAGTTCCAAGGTGGAAGCCTCAGGGTGGCGATCAGGCCGAAGTAATGCAGTAGTGCCGCGGGGATGGGACACTTACAGAACCGCCGAGAATCACACACGGGCACACACGCGTCCACGCACACGCACACAGCGGTGGCACGTGTACCACCTCCCGTGTGAGCGCCTCCCGTGCCCTTGAATCAGCACCACATACGTCTTTTTACCATTAAAACTCCTTATCCCAGATGTAGCGTCACTTCGATTAGGTAAATTGTATTCTTGTATCAAAGCCTGTTTGCTTCCAGGTCAGTTGATGCGCTTTTGAAATATTAATTTATTGGGTTTGTCTTTTCTTCACGTCTGTTCACTTTGGCTGGCTGGACTGACTGTGACACCTTCGGAATGTAATTTTTAAAAGGCCGCTGTGCAGATGCGATAGGTGATCGCTAACCAAAGAATGGTTTTGATTAGTCCCGTAACGAACCGTGATCATTAGCTCCTTCCAACAGGCTTACAAGTACAAATATGCCCCTACATATTACAGGTGTACTAAATGTGCGTACATTTTAATTTTAATGCTAATTCATATCTTTATACAGACCCGATACACGTTACTATTCGAGGTTGATTAAGTACAAGAGGGTTGAAATGCAGCCAATAAAGCAAGATTAGCAAGAGATTAGAAACAAATTTTAATTAGAAAATCACCACCTCAAATCCTTGTGGGAAGTAGGCGGACGTAAATAATAAAGAGAACCATTTAGAGACTTCTTGACAAGCAGGCCCGGGCTGCAACTCGGGAGGGCTGCATTCTGGTCACACCTCCGACGCTGCCTTTTTCTAGTGACCTTTAGTGATTGTTTGTTGGATCTTTCAGAGGCTGGGAACATACTAGGTGATCAATAAATGCCTCTGAATTTCATTAATCCCAGGAGAAAGAATCTCAGGTCTTTGTTATCCTCACAGGACAGTTTCTCAGGCCATTTGGAGGAGGCCCTGGGACCTATTTGAAAAAGACCAAATCTCTTGGCTCCCATCTTTGGAGACTTCGGATCTTTTGGGTGGAGGCTAGATTCTATGGACGTGTAAAGATGACCGGAAACATCTCCTCTTTTTAGTGTAAAAACCTTAAAGATATTGAAAACTGTCACATAATCTCTACCTTGTCATAAGCTTATCTGCAAGTTACCATTAAACTGTGTTTTTGTGTTTTTATTTTTATTTTTTAATTTTTTATTTTTTTACCCTTTGAGCTTCGGTGGAAGTGTCCCAGGAGAAATGAGACTTGCCCTGGTTTCTGTCCCCGGGGATGGTCTCCTCTAGGGCGACCCTGCCTGCCCTCGCCTCTGGGGACGTCGTGGGCCCAGCGGTCCTCAGGCCTTCTGTCCGCGGCCCGTGCAGGTGCGGTCACTGCCCAGGCCCGCCAGCCTGGGGGTGGAGGCCCGGACGGTGGCCCTCGGGGGCCTGCGGTTCCCTTCACCCCTGGTGGCTGTTTCCTGCGGCCGCTGTCCCAAGTGACCGTCAAGTTAGAGGCCCCAAATGACACAAAGTTCTTCCCACATCCCCGCAGGCCTAGAAATCCAGCGCAGGCCTCGCTGGGCTGCGGTGCAGGCGCCGGGGCCTCCCGGGGATGCACCCTGCCGTGGGGTCAGCTCGGCCGCCGTGCCCCCGACCCACCGGGAACCTCGGGGGTAATGTGCTTCTTCCCACGAGGGGCCATAGGAGGAACTGGGAAAGGCGCTCCTGGGAGTGCACGTGCGTGTGCCTGCCACGTGTGCAGGGAGGCTCCCTCCACCAGAGCCTTCCCAAATGCTCCTCCTTCGACCTAAATTTCATCCTGGGCCTCTCTACAAGGGAAAGGTTTGCTATGAAAATTGAGAAACAGATGCCAGGGGGCCTCAGGAACCTGCTTAGGAGAACAGACTGTTTTGAAAATCCTTGAGTAACACCAATTTGGAAAAAAAAAAATTGGGCCAATTAAGAGGCTCTTATTTAGTAAAGTGGATGCAATGAGATATTTTCCAGTATATGGTCAGGATCGTTCTGCACGTTACCCATTTGGGAACACGTTGCGGTGAATTTGCTTGAAGGTAGTCTATATTTTCACCTGGTTAGCCCGAATTGCTAAGGTTTTGCTGTTTTTAGCCTTTTTTTAGGGGGAATGTTTTCGGCAGTTTTGTTTTGTTTTGTTTTTTTGCTTACGCTGGAGACCGTTCTCCTGAGTGGAGAATGGCTGCTGAGTGAGCCAAAAGAGTACAAAAGACTTCAGCAGGAAGACACTGCTTATATGATCATTTGAAATTTCTCCATTTCTGGAAAATTCTCAAATTAGGCTTATGAAGGCAATCCAATTTAGCTAACTGCTAATTGGAGAAAGCAAAAGCTTATTGGCAGGGCTGGCACTTGGACTTCCCTTGTCTTTGGCTCCCACCTTCCCTTGGCAGCAGCACAACACCTCCTGGGGCCCAGGTCATGCTCCTCACGTGGCCTTGCGGGCCCTTGAACCAGGTGGGGCCCCCAAACAGTGCCATCGGGGGGCTGTCAGCCCTAGTGGCAAGTAGTGACTGTTCCCACTGGTCCCTCAGCATGGGAGGTGCCAACTCCAAGATCAGATGTGACTCTGATGGCTCACATGCCTTTGCTCTATCATACGTGAGGAAGGACCCTCATGTCTTAGATGTTTCCCATAGGACAGTGTGAAGGGAGTAGGAAAAGTGAGCGCCTTCATCAAATGAGGGCTTCTGTGGGGTGATTTCAGGGGAGTCGGTGATGGACTTGGACTTGGAACTGGCATGTGTATCTATGGGTTTGTAGTCTGTCTGTCTGTCTCTCTCTCTCTGATCCGCTGGGACTCTGGTTCCTGTTCGAATACGTATAATTGGAATTTTTTGGCTTCCAAAATGGTGTCATTTCAGTTTGGGTCCCGCAGAAACATCACCCTTGCTTAAAGTTTTTTTTTTTTTTTTTTCCTCTTTGCAGTCAGGGCTGTTTCACAAAGCCGTATGGTGCCACCAAGCCTCCAGGAGGAATGCAGAGATTTCATGATGTAAAAAGAAATAACTTATTCAAGAGAGCCCTGGTGGAGCTAACGTAATGAGCTGAGGATTTCTCTAGAGATGCGCTGCCTCTTTGATGACAACGGGAAACATTTTTCTAAACAGGGAGGTTGAAAACCTCCAGTGGAAGCATGCTATTAAGTTATAGGGTTTTTACTTCTCTCTGGGCTACTCAGTCAGCAGTGGCTGTGGCTGGTTTTATTTCGGTGAAATGAAACCTGCCCCCAACACGTCCTCCTAAGCCAGGCCTTCTGCTTTAGGTCCCCGTGGGGGAGGCCCTGGGGTCTAAAACAATCCTTAAACTTATTCAGGAAGCAGAACTATTGGCAATCAGAGCTTTTTTTTTTTTTTTTTTTTTTCTGAGTGTGGTGAAGAAATAAATGCTGGCTTATTGAGCTCAAAATAACCAACTGGAAAAGTCAGTATGAGTCAGATAGAGTCTCTGACTAAACTCTGATAATACACACTGTTGGTAGCAGCAGCAAAATTTAAGACACAGTCTGGAATACAAGCTCATCACTGATAAATTTCACTATTTTAAAAACATGTCTCGATTTGTCTCGGAAAACACTGCCGTCTCTCAATTTTATTGGGGGGGGGGTACTCAGGGTGAGGTTTTGAGACATCAGGGTCCCAACGTGGGGGTTTATTTTTACAGTCACTGGTGTAACACTGTATGAGCTGCCACCGCTCTCGAAAGACTTACAATAGAATCAGTGACAGCGGGTGATCGTGCCCTGGAAGGTGGCGTATTCAGAGTCCAGGCTGAGGGCTAGTGGAGAGCAGAGGCCCGAGGAAGTCTAACGCGGCCCCGCTCCTTAGGTTCGATTTCACCCGTGGCTTAGAGGGCCTGGCGTTGAGACCCGCGACCCCCTCCCCAGGTCCTCCCCAGGTCCCGGCGGGGCGAGGTGCTGCGTCGCCTATTCCGTGCTGGGGGATCGGCAGAGGTGGTCACTAAGGCTGCGGCCTGAGAAGCAATATATACCAACACCAGAGGGGAAAGGGCTATTTATTTAGGAAAGTTCACCATCAAATCACTGGACAGGAGAAACAACTCATGGAGAGAACCAACACTTAGCACAAGCAAGAGGGGGAATCCGCTGTACTCTGCTGTGACTTCTCTGGGCACCCTCAGTGTGACGCTGAGCAAAACTCCCTCAGACGTCTTCTAACTGGATCAGCCGCCACGACTGCGAAAAATCCATCTTTTTGTTGTTGTTGTTGACACCTCTCTCCGCGGCTTTCTGAATTATATTTAAGAGCGCGATACAGTGTATCTGATGTTAGCAAGCACCCAATTTAGCATTAATTTCTCTGGATGGAAACACGAGCCATATGTTTATGTCAGTAATAGCAGCACTATGCATTTGATCATTTCTGAGCAGACTGACTTTTTTTTTTTTTTCCATCTCAAAGAGGGAGTTCTGAGAGTTTGTATTCATTTTTGTAGCATCAGCAGCTTTCAGTACAGAGGCCACACAAGTTCCCTAATCTGATTTTATTTAATTTCTCGACTGGTCTGACTCTGATTAGAGGTTCAGATAAAATCGTGATTCTTCTAGGCCTTGATTATGGGAAAGTATTTCTCTCTCCTGGCACAGCAGCCATCGCAAGTAAGTTAATTGTTACGCAGTTGTCGCAGAGTAAGCTAGTGTTCTTTGAAGTGGCTCTATTACTAGATTTCCAGATGGTTGAGGTTTTTTTTTTTTTTGTAATATACTCAACCTCACTTCATGAAAACATTTTCACAAGGGTACAGAAATCCAACGGAGACGCGCATCTTTCCAGGCGCGCTCTTATGCGCATAAACAGCTTCGGTTTGGGGAGCCAGCAAGGGGGGGGGGGGCGTGTAAAACAAAGTGAGTAAAAAAAAAAAAAAAGGTTGCACATAGAGTAATTTTAATCCATTCCATTTTTAAATACCACAATAAATTTAATTTTCACAATAAATTAAATAGCCATATTCAGTTTACAAAATAGAATTACTTAGTGTGAAACCAGTATTTACAACAATATACATTATGTACATGACGTTTCTCTTTGTTGACACAGAACATGGACGTAGAAGGACCTCGACTTTCAGATGTGTGGCTGACATGCTACAAGTGACACCATGGTCTGTACGAGAAAACAATAGTGCAAAATCACCACAGGAACTTTGGAACAATGTCAATTCTATGAGACGAGACATTCTTTTAAATGATAAGAAAATAGCGTTTTCTGTTTTCGCGGCACCAATTCAGTATCTGGATTACAGAGCCGGCCTTCCCTTGGAAGAGAATGCGCGACCGAATCCTCTACTTCCCGGAGCTCCACGGCCGTCCGTACCGTCTTCACGCATAATCTTTTGGCTTAACTCTATGAAAATAGCAGGCACAGATTCTGACTCCAAGGAAGACTAACTCTTGGAGAACAGCTGACGCCACTGTCCCCCCCAAGACCACCACCTTTTCTTTCTGGATATAGCTCCAAAGATGCAACTACTCAGACAGCAAATCATTTTTTCTTTTTTTTTTTTTTTTTTGTGGATTTTCAATAGAAAAAGAATCCATCTTCTATTTGGTCGCCCACGGTGTATGTACAAGTGCACGTGGAAAAATGACTTGGATGGTTGTGTCTAAGAAAAGTGCATGTTTTAAGCTAGAGGGAGACCTTGTGTGCCTCCAGCCACAACACACAGTGTTATGGGGCTTGTCATGTTAGGGCCAGTTCAATGTCCTCCCAGTGATCTGGTAAAATTTTTGATTGAAAGGGTGAAAAAATTTGCGCAATTTGGTAATGACAGAGGGGTCCACCTCCGGATGAATGCGCCCCTTGCTGCCCGCCAGGCACTTATTAAAGATAATGTTAAATCGCAAGCAGTAAAACCCTCTGGTAGCATTGAAATATAAGTTGTATTGACTTATCCTCGGGGGAAGATTTAAGAACTTCTCCACGAGCTGAAGTTCTGGCAGAGGTTCCGTGATGAGGCGATCTCCGTCGACAACGTGGAACTGCTCAATGGGAAAGTATTTTAACCACCTTTCCAGATGTTTGGTGTAGATGCTGGTTCTTACCGCCTTGTACTTGGTGTTCACTTCACAGGTATTAGGGTCTATTGCCAGCTTCTCAAACTTGTAGTAAGTTTTGTTCTTCCTCTCCTTCCCCTCTAGCACCTGAGTGTAATCAGAAATAGCTCTTGTGGTTGGCTCCCTGACAATGATCAACAACTTGATGGATGAGTTCATTTTGTAAATCCTCTCCGGAACCTCCTCCGTGATAAAATACGCGGGGCTCTTTTCGATTGTGATTTGCTGTGGGTAGGAAAAGGGCATCTTTTTCCTGTACCACTCGATGCCCTTGGCATAATTCTCGTCATTGTCAAAAAAGTGGATTTCTTGAGAGGCTTTGACCACAGCGGGATGGAGGTTCAGCATCTCAAGCAGAGCCCTGGTGCCTCCTTTCCTCACCCCAATGATAATGGCCTTGGGCAGCTGCTGGACCAGGTCATGGAGGCGAACCTGGTCCTTGGAAGTATTGCCCTTCCGGAACTCGTGCAGCAGGCCACGCTTGAACTGCAGGGCGCGGAGAGGGAACTCGGCCTGGCTGCGCGCTCCGAATCGGCCTTCGATGGGGCAAATGGGTTGTAGCCTGAAAGCAACAGAGAGAGGCCTTTAGAAGCTCGTGGCAGCTGACTTGTCATTTTTCTGCTTCCCTAGTTGGAGCGAGACTTTAAATGCATAAATAAAACCACTGGTTCCCAGCCTGCTGCCATCCGTAATGAACATATGTTTGGGAAATTTTATTCTAAGCAACCCTGTATTAAATGGAGCACACATAATTGATGGGATTATTTTTATTAGTGCTCCTTAAAAATTTTTATTCACCAAGCACTTAATTGACTACAGCGTGTACTTATGTTCGCAGCACAGGACAGACAAGTGACACCAGCCATACTAATAGCCTTTTAACAGCTCACCAGTTAACTTCATTTAGAAATTGTGAAAGGCAGAAGAAGATCATCTTCAGCTGCGAGGCCGAAGGCTGGCGGGGAGGCCATGTCTTCTGGGTTTCGTGTGGTACTGTTTTCTTGCAGCTTAGCAGCACTCATGTGGTCTCAGAAATCTCTGAGATCTACTCTGAATAGAGGTCCCAGTCTCTGCCCATGGCTAGTTGGATCACTAACCTGCAAAGATCCAATCTTGGCGCTTGCTGAGCTTTTCATTCTATGAGAATTTCTGCCGCTGGCCTTGGGGACAGCTAGGCAAATACTATATTTCCTCTGCCTCTCTCTCTCTCTCTCTCTCTCTCCTCTCTCTTTCTATCTAAAGGGGTCGAGATTATGTTTTTACTTTGCTGAATGTAGGAACAAAGCCAATGCCGTCAGCAAGCACTGTCTATCACCTCCCACTCTTGGGACCAGAAATCAACCAGACCTCGGCAGAGCCAGAAGCTTCGGGTCCTCAGTGCCAAGCCCGTGGAAATCAGGGACTCCGGCGTAGGAAGGAAGGAATGCAATGGACGGAGCCAGAAAGGAGGATCTGTACTGCAGCACTGCCCTAAGTAATGAACCACCACCAGCGCTTTTGTCAGAGAGAAAGGGGTGGTGATGATCATAATGACATCAGACTAGAGTTACTGCTCGATTTGGCATGGCCAACGTCTATGGGTGGCAAATGCAGTTTCCTTTTGGGTAATAGTCTGGAACCTAACTGAAATTCATTATCACTTCCCTAAGTTTATCTGAAAAGGGATTTTAGTCTTCTTGCTGAAGGGTGTAACATCAGTCAAAATGGCTGTTAAGCCAATCCTCCAACTGAAGCTTCTAGCGATCCTAATTACTTGGAGTCTCCGAGGCAATGAGGCTGTCTGGTGCTTTTCCCAAGAGAACCTACTGTACCATTCTCATCTCCTGTAATGTATACAATTAAACGGAGAAGGGGAAAACTTTGTCACACCAAGACATTCTGTAGAACTAAGGGAGAAGAGTATGGCCTGTTTGAACATCTATCGTGGTGCTTGTGGAAAACGATATTCATATATTCTCGTTCATGGTGTTTGTTTCATATATTCTCGTTCGTGGTGTTTGTTTCTTGTTATTTCATAGACAACTCATGCTCATTGTGGAAACCATGAACATATGGAATAGTGTAAAAATAATGAGGTTTACATTTAATATTTTAGAAAAACCTGAATTTTGTTTTTATAAATTTGTTAACAAGATTAATATGCTGGAGTTCTAAATGGAAGCTACATCCAAACTCGTTCTGTGAGGCCAGCATCACCTTAATTCCAAAACCAGACAAAGACCCCACCAAAAAGGAGAATTATAGACCACTATCCCTGATGAACATGGATGCAAAAATCCTCAACAAGATACTAGCCAATAGGATCCGACACTTCATTAAGATTATTCACCATGACCAAGTGGGATTTATCCCCGGGATGCAAGGCTGGTTCAACACTCGTAAAGCAATCAGCGTGATAGATCATATCAACAAGAGAAAAAACAAGAACCATATGATCCTCTCAACAGATGCAGACAAAGCATTTGACAAAATACAGCATCCATTCCTGATCAAAACTCTTCAGAGTGTAGGGATAGAGGGAACATTCCTCAGCATCTTAAAAGCCATCTACGAAAAGCCCACAGCAAATATCCTTCTCAATGGGGAAGCACTGGGAGCCTTTCCCCTAAGATCAGGAACACGACAGGGATGTCCACTCTCACCACTGCTATTCAACATAGTATTGGAAGTCCTAGCCTCAGCAATCAGACAACAAAAAGACATTAAAGGCATTCAAATTGGCAAAGAAGAATTCAAACTCTCCATCTTCACAGAGGACATGATACTGTACATAGAAAACCCAAAAGACTCCACCCCAAGATTGCTAGAACTCATACAGCAATTCAGCAGTGTGGCAGGATACAAAATCAATGCCCAGAAATGCCCAGTGTGGCATTTCTATACACTAGCAATGGAACTGAAGAAAGAAAAGTTTTTAAAAAAGATTTTATTTATTAACGAGAGATACAGAGAGAGAGAGAGAGAAATGCAGAGACACAGGAGGAGGGAGAAGCAGGCTCCATGCAGGGAGCCCGATGTGGGACTCGATCCCCAGACTCCAGGATCACGCCCTGGGCCAAAGGCAGGCACTAAACCGCTGAGCCACCCAGGGATCCCCTTAAGAAAGAGAAATTAAGGAGTCGATCCCCTTTACAATTGCACTCAAAAGCATAAGATACCTAGGAATAAACCTAACCAAAGAGGTAAAGGGTCTATACCCTAAAAACTACAGAACACTTCTGAAAGAAATTGAGGAAGACACAGAGATGGAAAATATTCCATGCTCATGGATTGGAAGAATTAATATTGTGAAAATGCCTATGCTACCCAGGGCAATTTACACATTTAATGCAATCCCTATCAAAATACCATGGACTTTCCTCAGAGAGTTGGAACGAATCATCTTAAGATTTGTGTGGAATCAGAAAAGACCCCAAATAGCCAGGGGAATATTAAAAAAGAAAACCACAGCTGGGGGCCTCACAATGCCAGATCTCAGGTTGTACTACAAAGCTGTGGTCATCAAGACAGTGTGGTACTGGCACAAAAACAGACACATAGATCAATGGAACAGAATAGAGAATCCAGAAGTGGACCCTCAACTCTCTGGTTAACTAATATTTGACAAAGCAGGAAAGACGATCCACTGAAAAAAGGACAGTCTCTTCAATAAGTGGTGCTGGGAAAATTGGACATCCACATGCAGAAGAATGAAACTAGACCACTCTCTTGCACCAGACACAAACATAAACTCAAAATGGATGAAAGATCTAAACGTGAGGCAAGATTCCATCAAAATCCTAGAGGAGAACACAGGCAATACCCTTTTTGAACTCAGCCACAGCAACTTCTTGCAAGATACATCCATGAAGCAAACAAAAGCAAAAATGAACCATTGGGACTTCATCAAGATAAGAAGCTTTTGCACAGCAAAGGAAACAGTCAACAAAACTACAAGACAACCTACAGAATGGGAGAGGATATTTGCAAATGACCCATCAGATAAAGGGCTAGTATCCAAGATCTATAAAGAACCTATTAAAGTCAACAGCAAAGAAACAAACGATCCAATCATGAAATGGGCAAAAGACATGAAGAGAAATCTCACAGAGGAAGACATAGACATGGCCAGCAAGCACATGAGGACATGCTCCGCGTCACTGGCCATCAGGGAAATACAAATCAAAACCACAATGAGATACCACCTCACACCAGTGAGAATGGGGAACATTAACAAGGCAGGAACCCACAAATATTGGAGAGGATGTGGAGAAAAGGGAACCCTCTTGCACTGTTGGTGGGAATGTGACCTGGTGCAGCCACTCTGGAAAACTGGGTAGAGGTTCCTCGAAGAGTTACAAATAGACCTGCCCTACGACCCAGCAATTGCACTGCTGGGGATTTACCCCAAGAACAGATGCAATGAAATGCCAGGACACCTGCACCCCGATGTTCACAGCAGCAATGTCCACAATAGCCAAACTGTGGAAGGAGCCTCGGTGTCCACCGAAAGATGAATGGATAAAGAAGATGTGGTCTATGTATACACTGGAATATTCCTCAGCCATTAGAAACGACAAATACCCACCATTTGCTTTGATGTGGATGGAACTGGAGGGTATTATGCTGAGTGAAATAAGTCAATTGGAGAAGGACAAACATTATATGATCTCATTCATTTGGGGAATATAAAAAATAGTGAAAGGGAATAAAGGGGAAAGGAGAGAAAATGAGTGGGAAATATCAGAAAGGGAAACAGAACATGAGAGACTCCTAACTCTGGGAAACGAACAAGGGGTGGTGGAAGGGGAGGTGGGCGGGGGGTGGGGGTGACTGGGTGCTGGGCACTGAGGGGGGCACTTGACGGGATGAGCACTGGGTGTTATGCTATATGTTGGCAAATTGAACTCCAATAAAAATATATATACAAAAAAATAAATGGAAGCTACAGAAGTAGCAACACATACATTAGTCAAAGATATTTTCAATTGTGACATTGATTGGAATATCACAAATCCATCTCTTAGCTCTTTTTGGGTTCTGGCCGAGAACTAAGCCCTGATTCCCTACAGCATCCACTGAATGGAATGGAGAGACTTCTCTCCTGTGCCTCTAGATGCGAGTGCCATCCTTGGGAGAACTGAGGAAGTAGTCAGTCAAATCCTTTTCTGTAAGGACTTCATTCTCTTGCACAATTCTGGCCGAGAAAGGCTGAAACAGACCGTCTCGGGGCTGTTCCTTCTTTTCCTTGCTTCCACTTTCTACCTTCCACCGTGGGAGCTCATACCCTATGGAACAATTGCCTTTTTGACTTCCTAACTCATGAGAGGAGAAAATATATTATTTCCATTTCCTGAAGAGTAAATTCTGGGCATGGGCCTCAGACATGGGAAAAAAACATGGAATCTTAGGACTGGAAGGGACAGTAGAAGGAACTGGGCTCAGTCTCCCACCCAGAGAGCAGGGTCCTCAGTGACTAAAGGATAGGCCCGGGTGTGTGTCAACGTCAGACATAATTTTCTTCATCAAACCCTCAAATGAGAGGTTTTAGGAAAGAAAGTCCAAAAGCTATCCCATTAGAGACTGGACACCGAAAAAATGAAAAGAATCCTCGACTGAATGGCTACTGTGTTAAGGATCATTGGATCAATCGCTCAGTAAAAAGCAAACGACTGGAAGCTAATGAAAGGTATTGGGAAGAACTTGACATAAAAGTTCCACTAGGGACACAGGACAGTGGTGCCCACCTCAAAGCTTTTCACGAATAACTAAGTACCACTCTAGGGAAACTACCTGAAGTCAGTGATAAGCTCTGGATTAGGCCATTTCCCAGCGTTAGCAACCAGTGAGCGCGAAGTTGACTTCAGAATTTCGGATTGAAAAGCATCCGAGGGGTTCCCTTGACCGGTCAAAACTGACACTGGCTGAAGGAAGATGAAAACCGCTGCAATATGATTTGTTAAATGACCCAGTGAAAAGATCTCTATATTAGAAAACTGTACGGAAGATACTTTCATTTTTAAGCGTGGCTGCATTTTCACGGAGAATGGGAACCGAATCCATAGAGAACACACTTCAGTCTTTCCCACGTGAGGATTCATTTTAAAGGGCAAAGAAGGGAGCTTCCCATTGCGGAGATGAACTTCACCGTCTTTTCCAACCACCCCAAATGTGGGACGGTCCAGAGACACGCAAGGTGCAGCCAGCTGATGTTTGCCGGGCCTTCCGCAAGCTGGTACCTCGCCACCGTGCGCCTATTGAGAGCCCGGGGTGGCTCCGTAAGTTTCCCCTCCCTGGATTTTCGGTTGTTTTCTGGGCAATTCCTCTGAGCGACGGGCTCCTCAGCTGGTGCTACTCTCAGCTCCTGGAAACCAGACCTGATTGACACGGTCAAAACTCCCCCGGCCCGCAGCCATCCTTCCAGGGCACTGGATTCCCAACTTGAGGAGCCCCTCCACAGGCTCACACGTTGTAATCCTCACTCTCACGGTAGCACGTTAATTGCTCACTCATAAATTCCAGCAATGAAGAGAAATAAATACAACGTCACTGCTTTGCCCCGGCTAGGAGGCAACAGCCAGGCGCACACCAGACCACACCGAGCTCCAGTAAATGACATTTGTACCGTAGATGGCTTTATCCCTTCTCTGAAAACAAACGTCAACGCACACAGAATACCAGTGGATCCCGACGAACGCCTTGGTTTGAGCAACCAGGTTCTCTTTCTCTTAAAGGCTCAATAAATCAAAATCAATACGGCAGAAAACCATGTTTCTGGGCAATTTTGAGAGAGGAAAATAAATGGGTAGATCTAAGATGATGTCCTAAGGGAGTTTAAATCGAGAGACCCCTGAAGTCACACGGGCTTGGGTGTAATTACCTACCTCTGTGTTTAAGTACCCACCTATCCAAGCTCCCAACTCTGGCGACTAGATACAGGAGACTCCCCACGGCAAGGCTGCCCAGCACCAGGAGCTTCTGTCTCAGCCACGCCTGCTGTTTGAATAGCATGGCCCTCCATCAACCTTCAGGACTCCTGCGGCCTGAGAGACAGGGATAGGAGGCACTCATCAGCTGTCATGTCTCAGAGGCTCCGGGACTAGTCACAGAGCCACGGACGGGGGTACGGGTGATCGAGTGATGCTTCGTGAGGAAGAGATCCCATACGGACCGCGACAATGTTGAGGGTGTGACAGGTATTTACCAAAGCTTGCCTTCCTCTCCCTGACCCATGTTATAACATCAAAGGCTAAGCCAGGGGAGGCTCCCAACTAGATGGAACCTGTTGGACAATTGTCAAAGTGAATTAAGGTGCATACATACATATATATGAAGAGAGAGAGAGAGAGAACACGCACACGTATTTGTTATTATTAGTCATTCAAAGAACGCTGATAAAATGAGCAACTGGGTAACCTGAGGTGTGCCGGTGGGGCAGGCAGTAAGCTGAGGGTCCTGCCCCGGAACAACACGACAAACGTAGAAATTCCGGTTCAGCGAGTGATCCTCTGGGGCATTGCAGTGACATATGTTACTTGCATGTTTTTTGGTTTTGTTTAGTTCTAATTGCGAAGGGAGGGAAGATCAAAGGCTAGTTCTTTACCTTCCGAGGTTATCAGCGGTAACTCTCAGGCCCTCAGATGCTGGAGGCCAGTGGCTCAAGGTGACCTGATGCTGCCCTTCACCTCCTCTGCCCGGTGCCGTAACTGGACGGTCGGACTCTGGAGACATGCCGAGACAGGCTCCCCTGCTGTGGGGACCCCCTCTTGGCTCTCGATGGATTTAAACAGATTTGCCGATACGGGTCTCACTCTCCTGTCATGACGGAAGCTTACCTGGAAGCTCTGGACTCTTATTCATGAAATAAGGCTGGCGGAGGAATGTAAGGCTCTACTAGTGCCGTTATTAAATTTTGGGGAAAAAAAATGCAAGCTCCAATTCAGCCTTTCTTATTAAAAATAAATCCGATCGCCCTTTCAAGATAAGATTGTTTGTTTCTTATTGAAACTCAAAGTAGTAACCCAAGAAGAGGGACTGCAGCAGTGGGTCATGGGTAGAAATTATTTTCTTGCAATGGTATTTCCATGTTTGCTAGGTGGCAAGGGGTACACTAGGGTGGACTGATTGGTCTATTCATTCCTTCATCGAGATTAGGAGCCCCAAGAACATTCCCAGCTATTCTACTGGGTTTATGGAGGATTCCAGAAAACACCCTGAGTGAGTTTTAGCCCTTGAATAAGTAATAATGACAGACGAAATCGCAAAACGACCAGAGGATGCAACCTAATTCATGTTAATGTAGAAATAAATGTCGAGGAAAGAAAATAACAAAAAATGAAAGAAAGAAAGAAAGAAAGAAAGAAAGAAAGAAAGAAAGAAAGAAAGAAAGGTCAGAGATGTGGGCTTCTTAGATTGCGGGGGCCTCTCCCTCCCCGTCTGTAAAATGGGGACGGTCTCTGACGTCCCCACTCCGGCCCCCACGCCGAGAGCGGAGTGAGCTTTGTACCAGTAACGTTGCGGCACAAAGGTGTATTGCTAAGGGCCTGGCGTGGGGTGAGGCTCCTCTGCGCCTCGGGCGGCTGAGTTTCGCGTGAACCCAGAGCGAGGCAGAGGGGTGCCAAGTGGTACGAGAGGCCCCGACGGACAGCCACCCCGGGAGTGGCCAGCGGTGGCGCCTCGCCTGGCCCCCGGCAGCCCTCCTGCTTCCCACGGGCCACGGGCTCTGCCCACTGCCCCAGCTGTGGAGCCCGCTGCCAAGGGGGGCACGGCCGCCTCCCCGGGGAGGGCCACCCCGGCTGCCCGCCCCGGCCGTCTCCCTCCACCTCCGGGGGCCAGGTCTCCAGTGGCCAAGGTCTCCCGAGTGCTGGGTCTCTGGGGGTCAGGGTCTCGAGGTGCCAGGTCTGTTGGGGTCAGGGTCTCCGGGGGCCAGGTCTCCCGAGTCCCGGGTCTCCAGGGGTCAAGGTCTCCGGGGATCTCCTGGGTGCCAGGTCTTTGAGGGGCCGGGTCTCTGGGGGTCACGGTCTCCAGCATCAGGATCTCTGAGGTGCTGTGTCTCCAAGGGGCCGGGTCTCTGGGCGCTGGATCTCTGGGGGGTCAGGGTCTCCGGAGGCCAGGTCTCCGGGGGTCGAGGTCCCCCAAGTGCCAGGTCTCCAGGGGTCAGGGTCTCTGGAGGTCACGGTCTCCGGGGGTCAAGGTCTCCCGGGTGCTGGGTCTCCAGGGATCAAGGTCTCTGGGGGTCAGGGTCTCCAGGGGCCGGTTCTTAGGGTCAGGGTCTCCGAGGTGCTGGGGGGTGGGGCGGGTTAGAGGCAGCGCCTGCCTCGCTGTGGCAGCAGCGCAGCTCCGGGCCAGGGCTGAGCGTGCTCCTGGCTCACAGGTCCCGGGAAGCCAGCCGAGGGGGGAGCCCCGATCCTGTGTGCCTTGCTGGACGGGCTGGGTCCCCTACAGTGAGCGTGCACCCGCCGCCCTCAGAGATCCCAGGCCAACGAGCCAGAATTAACCTTGCACCATTGCTGTTGTTGTGGTTTTGTTCTCACAGTGGAGTCAATGACATACACACCTTAATCACACTCATTGTTTTTTTTTTTTAGTGAAAATCCCAGATTTTCTTTTCTTTTTCTCTTTCTTTCTTTCTTTCTTTCTTTCTTTCTTTCTTTCTTTCTTTCTTTCTTTTTTTTTTTTTAGATTTATCTATTTATTCATGAGAGACACAGAGAGAGGCAGAGACCCAGGCAGAGGGAGAAGCAGGTTCCCTGCGGGGAGCCCGACGCGGGACTCGATCCCGGGACTCTAGGATCACACGCCACGCTGAAGGCAGACGCTCAACTGCTGAGCCACCCGGGCGTCCCCATTGTCTACTTTTTTGTTTCTCTCGAGTCACCAATTTTGTCAAACTCCTCCTTAATTTCTTCCTGCCTCGTCCTGTTGAAGCACTTCCTACCCCCCCCCCCATCTCTTACCATCTGGGGACGTGCTCCTATGGCCCATGTGGTCTGAGTTTCCTTCCTCACCCCAGTTCTTCTGTCCCCCATCGGTTTTCAGCTATTCGCTGGATCAAGTCCAATCTCTTCCGGGCGCCGGGGTGGCTCAGCAGTTAAGCATCTGCCTTCGTTCAGTTCAAGGCCTGGTCCCAGGGGGTCCCCGCAGGGAGCCTGCTTCTCCCTCTGCCTGTGTCTCTGCTTCTCTCTCTGGGTCTCTCATGAATAAATAAATACAATCTTTAAAAAAAAAAAAAGTCCAATCTCTTCTTGAAAGCACAGGCCCTTCGGTCCGAGGGCCCAGCCCGGACAGCCAGCCTCCTTCCTTCTTGAAACTCCCCAACTCCAGCCTGTGTCCCCCCAGGTTAGCCTCATTCCTGCTTTGCAGACCTGTCCACTCTCGTCTCTCTGCTTTTGTCAGCGTCCTCACTGACCCGGCACAGCTCTCGCACTTTTCCTTCCTCAGGATTCCCAGGTCCTGTTAGTGTCTCCCTGGAGAGGGCGATCGTGGCGGATGGGCAGTTTGGGCGGGAAATCCCAGTGCACTGCCATTCGGGGGTGGGAGGGGCTCCACCCTGGGGAGACGCTTGCATGCAGGGGGGGAAATGACCAGGGCTGGGAAGGCTGTGGAGGGAGGGGCCCAAGACCCAGGGGAATGTCACAACCAAGCTTTCGAGCCTTCGACGGAGACGCACAGATGCACACGTCATCTGGGAAACGGTGGATCACGACACCTTACTGCACACAAGGCCGAGGCTCTGTCTACAGCCACTGAGGATCTCTCCTGGTCAAAAGCTCCACTGCCCCCCCCCTCCGATGGCCCTTTATGGCCAGTCCGGTTGTCACCATGGGGGTTTTGCCCCGTGGGACGAGCGGCTGCAGCCAGTCCAGCTCATGTCTGAGATGCCTTGAATCGGCCCACTGGGGCTTCTCCAAACGCCTTCCTGCTCTGCCTCCCCTCCGGATGCCAGGCCTGCTGCACCTCCAAAGCACCCCCGTGTCTACTAGGAGGCCGAGGAGAACTAGAGCTTTTATTCGAGGGCTCAGCTACTGTGAACGGAGCATCCGTGGTGAAGTGCAGAGAGCCCTGGGTTAGGAGTCCGAGACCCTGATTGACATCCTGCTTTACTTTTAGAATGGAAGCTCGCTGAATTTTGGCATCCTCGTCTGCACAGTGAGGATCACAATGCTTATCTCACGGCGTTCTTATGACGTGAGCCTTGGGTAAGACGATGTGAGATAAAACTGTGAATATATGGGCACTTTGCAAAAATGGGGCATGACAGAGCTCGGGAGGCTGATATGTTTGTTCTCACGATGCACTTTAAAGAGGGAGAGAGTAAAATAAATGCAGTTCTCATTAATAATATAATTAGACTGCAAAAAATGTAAGCCCCCCCTCTTTTTTTTATACATAAATAACTTTTAATGGAAACGACTGCTACCTACGAGAACGCTAACGCTGTAATTCCCTCTTCAAAGCAAGACGGCAAAGGGCGGCAAAGCAAAGAAACACCAAAGACAAGGACGAGAAGTCAACACTTACTTTGTTAGGCTGAAATCTCTTGGAATTTGTCAGAAATGAGGAAGCCAGGCCAGTGGTTGCTAATAAGCGTCTCTAGGGCGCAGGAAGCGAAATCTCATCCTGTTCTGAGGTTAGTCTCCAGACAGGACGTCCTGAGAGGCAGGGTCCTTGCAGCCCCCCAGGAAGGCCTGCCCAGGGGACACCAAAGGCGCTCGGCTGCGGTAACCCTGAAGGTGCCCCTCGGTCTCTACCATCTGAGGACCCTGCCAGGTGGGGTCTTAGGAGTGGGGAGTCATTGCTCTTGCTCGGAGCGTATCCGCCGGAGAGAAGCCTCGCCGTCCGAGGTTCACTGAACATGGTATTAAACTGGGGAGAAGGTCAACTTCTCCTCCAACCCCCAAGTTCCTTCCCCTTAGCTCTACCGGCTTTAATGGCTATTTTAAAAAATTTTCATCACATCAATCATACTGGTAATAGGCAATTTATATAAAGTTGTTTTTTTTTGAAGCTTATTATTTCTTTTTATGCCTTATCAAAAAAAGGT